CTGTCAATATAAATCTGTTAACTAAAGCTCTTAAGAAACTTAACATGCTCTACCAATTAGTTAATATACTCACTAATCTTTTATGCAATCTATCTAATCAAATTATTACTAAACTTGGACTTACACCTTCATATAAGATACAAGATGGTATAGACTAAAGTGAAATCATAACTGCTCTTCTTTGATGAATCTACTATGATCTCTTAATAAGCCATATATATAATACATACATCAGCTATACTACTACAACCCAAATAGCTTACTTCAATCAGTCTTAGTAGATATCAATTTACTACTACCTTTATATCTATATTGGCATATATGGATAATATATTGTAACTGCAAACTTAATAGAACAACTTTAAGCAATTGTTTAAACAGCTGCATTCTTCTATACAATAGCTCATATAAAAGTTAATTCACATAAATCCTTTTCAACCTCAAATATCAAATCTACTATATATGTTGTGCCTGAGATTGATGCTTGCATCAGATAACAGCTGACATACTTCAGATATTGATTATTAGATGAAGTGCCTCAGATGATTTGAGATATGTTGACTGTAATTTAATGCAACACAACATTTTTTATTAAAATATGTTTAATAAATTGCAAATTGCAAATTATAAATTATTTAATATAGCATTTTTGTTTTACATACACTAATTACTAATTATATAGAAAATGCACTTTTTTTTATATTAGTATGCTATGTTAATATATTGCAACCAAATCTTTATTCTGACATGAATGCCTATCATGGCATCTACTGCTACATTTACCTCTATTTTTTTTACAATAGCATCAGTTATTATTGCAATCAGATTTACAACTACATATTGCATATAATGGACTTGCACTTTGAAGCCATGCTACTTCTTTAATTGTTATTTTATTAAATATAATAGTATCAAGTTCAAAAAAGTTAGCAGAACCCAAAGGTTCTAGTTCATTAGCTAAATAAAAAACATTGATAATACCAAATTTAGACTCCAATTGGTATTTGTCATTTTCAGTTTTATCAAGTATTTTGCAAGGAATATTTGGTTAATCAACACTATATCTATCTATTTTTGGAATAGACACTTACACAAGATCACTGATTTTATAATCTAATTTCCTTTTTTTGCTTTTGAACATTTGATAGACCATTTTTTCAGTATAGTTCTCAAGATTTTGGCATGTTAATTGACAAAGAATTTCATGTCCAGAAGTAATATTAGTTATATCTGAAAGCTGAGTGGTAGTGTTGTTAGAAATATTGTCAAGAATTTTGATATTTTCTTATATATAAAGTTAATATAAAATTAGTAAAATAAAATAAAATAAAATAAAATAAATAAATAAAAAAAGAAATATTATCCTCACAATCATCATTCAGACTTTCAATATAGTTAGACTTTTGGATTTCTATTATATTAGGTATAGCCTCTTTATCTTTAATATTTCTTGAAAAGAGTTTATTAATTAATGTACAATTTCTATAAGGTTTGCCACCATATATGAGTTCATATAGGGTCTTTTGATGAGAACAGCAATAACTATTATTCATAGAATATATAAAAAATTGAAGTCCAAATTACCAGTCACTCCATTTTGTATTTTCTTTCTACTACCAAGTTTTTGCTAAAGGATTCTGTTGACACATTCAACCAACTTTTGGAATTGTAAATAATGTGGTCATTCATTAATTATTTTTACAGATGCCACATTTTTATAAGTTCTATAATTACCAATATGCAGAATTTCTTGCTATTGTCAGTTTGTAAGATAATAGGAAGAGAATCCAAAAAATGAAATAAATCAAATAAATAATCTGCAACCTCCACAGCCTGTTTAGAGGTAAGTGGTTTAGGCTATAAGAAATGACTAAAATGGTCTCTAACATGGCAAATATACTAATAATTGCCACTAGCATCAAATGATAAGTCAATCTATTTATTAATTTTAGTAACAATTTGAACAAGTTTTTGACTTATAACTAAAACCTTGTCCAAAATACAACATATTATTATTAACTTACTTGCATTCAAGACAGAAAATTTCAGACAATATTAGGTTTTGCTGCTAATAGGTAAAAAGATGGCTTTCTTATAGCACAGATGGTGCAATTATTAATAAATTTTTGACAATTTCTTGTCTAATCCATCTCCATCTTTCTTGGATAGACTTCTATAACTGCTTTTGTCCATCATGTTGATCTACTTTAGCATGGGTTTTACAAAGAACTTTATATATTTTTTTAACAACCAAGATTGGTTTATTATTTTTTTTTATTATTACCTAAAATTCATCAGAAGTTATTTTCTCAAGACAGAATCATTTTTTTGTCCAATCTCTGGTGTTCTTATTACTAATACTAACATTATTAGGATTTTTTAAAATTAGTTTAATTTGATTATAGAGCATTACATTTATTAACACCTTTGATTTTTTGCATTCAGGTAGGCCAATTATGTAATCATCAACAATGTTAGAAAAAGTTTTTGAACTAATAAATTCAAATTCCATATTTAATAGTAAATGTGTTATTGAAGATACCTAATAATGAAGGTAATTATAATAACAATGCAATAGAAAACTATTGAGCATTATTTCTTATGATTGGGTTATTCTATTTATTTGATTTTTTTTTAAATTTTTTAATTACATTATTTTTCATTTGTTAACTTTTGACTTTCTAATTGATTACTTCATTTTTTATACATTCCTCTAATTGATTACTTCATTTTTTATGCATTGTTATTCAATACATTATTATACTATTTTTGCATTACAAATATTCTGATTACTTTTATTAAATTTTAATACTTTTTTATTATAATTTATTTTATACCTGCCAACTAATACTATTTATTTAATTAATCCAATTTACTGAATATAGCAGTTATTGTTAATTGGTAACAAGGTACTATAGCAAAGGGAAAATATTACAAAAACTATCATTGTATAAATTATATAAGTTAAAAAATTTTTTTTAGTTATTTAGTTAATGTGTTAGACATACCTGAGACACTTCATCTAATGATCAATATCTAAAGTGTGTCAGCTGTCACCTGATGCAAGCATCAATCTCAGACACAACATATATATGTACAAGTAACTGGCTATATCTTATAATCCTCTTGGGCTACTAATCTCAAACTCTGAACATTAAACTTATTACAAAAGCAATATTCTGTTTTGATATATATGAATAAGACTTTTTGAGTTGCTTTATTACAAACTAAGCTTTCTAATATACTATCTATAACTAAATCATTTTATGCTATAACTAACATTTAAGTTAATCTCTTAAAATCTATTTTGGTTACCAATAATTCTTCATCTCATTACACCCATATCTCTTATAATAATTATCTTCTTTTACTTCACTCTTCTAAACAACTCTTTAAATTTTTAGATTGCTAGTTCAACTTGGACAATAGGCAATCTAAACAAACAAAACTGCTTATTACTAAATACTTTCAACTCATTCAAATTGCTAAAACCAAACATATTACTAACTCACATGCCTGTTATATTATTAATACAGTTATTATTTCTATTCTTGAATATTGTCTTCTAAATATTATAGTTAGCCAGTCTACTTGCAATAAAATCTTTATTTAGCATATCAGACTTGTTAAACTTAAAACTAAACTTTGTTATACAATACATCTAGTAGCCTTTTACATTTCCAAATCTATATTATTAAACAAATCTATAATATCAAATTACAATATCATATTTCTAACCTTTTCAAATAACTTAATAATTATGATCTATTAGGCACATCAATTTGTATTCAAATTTAACAGTTTCTTAATAATTTTTTTAAAAAATATATATATATATATATTTTAGACAAATTTTTAAATATTACTTCAAATATATCAAATATATCATTTTTAAAAACAATTTAGATAACTAAATCTAATTTATCTCAACCAAATTTGTACTTTAAGCAATATTACACTTCTTAAAAGTAATGTTTATTACTAAAAATTCTTTATTTTTTTAATAACAAAAAAACAATTTGGTATACTGAACTTGAAAATATTATTATAAAAAATTATTATTATTGTTCTCTTAAACTCAATATCAATATTAAAAACTAATTTTTTTGTATATAATATATACAATATTCTTAAAAAATATATCTATAACTGATTACTTTTAATAAAAAAAATTATTATAGGCAAAATTTATAAACATCTTATAGATTTCAATCAAATATTAATTATATATTAGCAAATAGATATTAATATAAACAAAATAATTACTACCTACTTCAACTGATTAATTTTATTTTTTGTCAAAATTGTCAATTCAACTTATAACAAATAACTATAATATGTACTATTAATACTTCATTTATTACATCAACCCAATTTTTTAGTAAAATTATTTCAAACTTAATTAAAATAAATATAAACTATTTAGATCTTCTTAACTTTGTTGCAATTAAATAGTCTTTGCTAAACCTTTTACTACTACTAATGTTTTCTATTTTTATCTCTAATTCTATCTTATAAAAGATAGATAGTTTATCTAAGAAGATAGTATTATTCTTTTGTTTTAAGAATTTATTTATGTAATTTTTATATAGTTAAGACTTTTTGTAATATTAGTATTATATAAATTTATACATATACTTAAACTTGTTTTACAAAACTTTATATTTGATTATTTGAATCATTTAAGTTTATGGAAACAAATCTAATTTTGTTTTGAATTTGTTTTAAATTACTAAGTTACAGAATTCAGACTTAATATATTTATTTTTATTTATATTAATATATTTAAAATAAGAATAAATATTCTTATAATAACCTCAGATTAACCAATAGTAATTAGAGTTAGAGTTTGGGTTATATAAAGTTTTAGTTATTTTTAGAGTTGTTGCAAATAAGTGTATAACAGATTGTTACAATTAGATTCATTCTTATAATAATAAATATATAATTTTATAAATATATTATTTATATTTTTATAAATATCTATATATAATTTCAAAATGACTGATTCATTTTTTACTATCTTGCTTTGTTGAAATTTTAAAAAATTTAACAATATTATTATTATATAATTGTTATATTATTATTAGTATTGTTACTTGACATTATACAATGCACTGTAAACATATAATTTTAATATTAAAATTACATCTCTTAGTAAAAATTATTTCTGCCTTTAGTCAGTCAAAATTAATTCTTAGTGATGAAATTATTTTTATAATTATTAAAATTTTTAGTAAAATTATTTGAATCCTTTATGTCAAAATACATTAGATAGTATAGTCTTACGAATTCATTTTTGTGCACTTTTGTGATAGCAAATCGGTACTTTAATAAGACTTTGTTATAATGAAAAATCAGCCAATCATAATAAAACCGTTACCAGCATAAATAAGTAAACAATATCTCATATTTTGGAGTAGTGATGACAGGGAAATTATTTTCACAAATGCGTACATAAATGTTGTGGATTATTTCCATGGAAATACAGTAATTCCTAGAATAGTAATCAATTACAGCTGTTTTCAAAAAGTTGCGAACAACAATTTCCATATACCTATGCGAGAAAACGAAGAATCGAGAAATTCTGATTAGTAAAACTTAAAGATTTGCTTAAAGTTGGAATTGAAATTTCTCGAAATTTGAGATATAGTGATAATACCTTGTTGAAAAAGCTAAAATATGCAAACTTTAATAAATTATCGCTGTTTCTAAATTAGTGCCCAAATAAATTTATACTGACATTGTTTTATAATTATTATGTATATTATGCGGATTCACAAAATTTATTTGTTGCATAATTTTAAGTTCTTTTAACTTTACAAATAAGGAAATAACAGCAAATTAATGACAAAATGTAAAATTGAAATTATTTTGGCGATCTTAATTCACCCCTGAACGACTATCCAAAATTACATAAAGAATTCTAGAATTTAACAACTTTACAAATAAAGAAGTAACAGCTAATTAATGATAAAATCATAAATGGAATGAATTTGCATTTTTTTTATAACCCCTCTAGGAGTACACTGGACGACTACTTTATTTCTTTTTTTAATAACGTTTTTTTATGTTTATCTATGGGATAATTTAAAAAACCAAAAGTGGTTTAATAAAATTCTGATCCAATTTTATATAAATATAAAGCGGATATCAACGTTCTCTTAACCATCTGAAATTGAGATTTGTTTAACGTTACTTTTTTTGTACTTGCACGGGGGAGGGTTCAGGGGATTAAAGGAAATTACGTTAAACGAAAAGTCAACTTCAAACTGTCATACTACAATGTATGCAGTAATAATTATGGTGCGTGTAATTTGAAGTTAGAGTAATCTTATAGACAAAAGTTTATTTTCAATATTTATTTAATCATCAACGTATTTTTTTTAGTTTTTCCTTGTTATAAGAACATCCGGCCTTTTTTGCTATTCTTAATAATGTTATCAAATTTATTATGAAAATAAATATCAATAATAAAATAAATTCAATCTTAAATTCTTGTCCTTTATGATAAATGCAAGTTATCGGAACTTTTCCCGCATAAGTTACACTTATGGAAATATAATTGTAGTTACAATTATTTGTTATGCAAATATTATACCGGGTTAACTTTGTTCATTATTTTAATTGGTTAATCCACAAATTTAATAATAAACGGGAGATTTGGTTACAACCTTTAGGCACGATGATCAACAATGAAATTTACACTAAATGGATCCAGATAAATATGCTTGAACATTATAAATATCACAGACTAATTACTACGATTAAAGACATCCTTCTCATAAACACATGGTGAAAATGAAAATTTTAAAATTAACATTCATCATTCTAGGAATCGTTCTCACTGCATTACCCTTAAAGGCATTCTTAGTGAAAGGCCGAGGGCATAAAAAATTCGAAAATTTGGTTGTTTTTGGCAATGATTTTACCGGTAAATATAACCATAAAGAGTGATCAAAATTTCAGCATCAGTTAATTTATTTATCTTCAGCAATAGTCTTTACTATGACATTTATTAACAGTTAAATAAATTTAATCGCATTATGTAACGTAATTAGACACTGGAAATTCGTATAAACTAACTAAAAAGAAATATCCGCCATCTCCTCCTTATTTTCATGGAAGGCTTAGTAATGGACCACTTTGGATAGATTATTTCGCATCAAAAATTGATGCCAAGTTAAATAATTATGCTTTTGGAGGTGCTTCATGCGAGTAAATATTATTTTTAATAGATAAAAATATATCGAACTCGTTAATAAAATTTATTAAGCTAATAATTATGATTATTGACAATAGTGCCACATTAGTACCATCTGTTATAGGACCAAATAATATTTCTGTCCCTGGAATTGCTCAACAAATAGATTTTTTTATATCAAATGATATGAAAAAGTTTGATCCCGGTAAAACATTATTTGCGGTAATGTTAATATTCATTTTAATTTGAATGTTAGTTTTTTCTTAATTTTATTTATCTAATTATCTATATTGTAAATAAATTATGAATAGCTTGGGACTATTGCTCTTGATTACAGCCAATCCTTACTACAAGCCAACCCAGCAGATATTGTAGCAAGTATTGGAAAAAGAATGGAAAATTTGTATTGTCATGGTGCTACCAATTTCATTGTCGCCAGTGACACGCCAGCAGATGTTAGTATACCAGGGCAGGCCGTTGTTTTTTCTCCAGAATTCATACAACAAATTAATGAAAAAATTGAACTACACAATCAATACGCAAATGCTGCTTTAGAAGCATTCAAAGTCAAACATCCGGATGTTAATCTATATATAGTCAGTATAACTAACATTCTTGACACAATTTTGGCTCCTGAATCACTAGAAAAGTTAGGAATAACAGTTGTTGATATAGGTTGTATACCTGATGATGGCTTTGCAGGAAAGAATAGTGTGGTTTGTGATGTTCCTGAGAAATACTTATTTTACGATAACTACACTGCCCTCAACACTAAGGTTCATGAGAAAATGTCTGAAATGATTTTAACTTATTTGGAATAAGAGTACTGTTTTTATATCGTGTTATATTTCTTTAATGTTACTTATTTGATACTGACAATTTAATTATTTTTTTAATATACCATTGAGCATGGAATTGTGTTAGTTTATAATAATTTTTTATTACATAAAACTTTTTAAAGATTTATAGTAACTTAATATAACTGTCTGTAAAACGTATACATTATATTTCAATTTAATTTTTATTAATATATAACTCAAATTTAGTTTATGCAATGCATAACAAATGAACCTCCAAACTAGATTACCATTTCGATAATAGGGGTGTTAAGCTGGTTAAAATAGACTGGTTCAGTTCCGAACTGGCAGTGCAATACATAATAGTCACATGCAGATCATGTGTGTAAAATTTTCTACGCACCAAAATTTCATATGTAAAATTTGGGCAAATTTTGCTACTTAGACTTATTTAACTACGTTGTAGGCTTATTTTTGGGGCATCATTTTTCAAACTCTCCGGCATTTGAAGGTTCTTATGAAATTTTAAATGAGATAAAAAATAAAATTGAAAAGAATCATGATCACGAAGTTGGGCGATTTTTAATTATGTACATTGACACGGGAGTCAGTCGCTCGACAAATGGGTATGTCGTGTAACCTACGAACGGCTTAGTCGATAAGAGGCGGTTAGATTTGGAGAGTGGTGTGTTTATGATTGTAGGTTTTATATTATAATTAAACAGGGAATTATTAGAAGCGAATTTTATGATAAGCGCAAACTGAACTGTTCTTGTAGGGCTCGAAGCCTTTATTATATATTATTCTATTACATATGCGTTCTTTAAGGTATTAAACCTATTAAACCCATTAAACATATTATCCCTATGATCCCTCATATACCCCTGCAATGTCCTTTATTCCTTAAACTCCGTATATCTTATATAACCCGTTAACCAGCGTTTGCGTTTATTTCCCTTATGGCCCTTATTAGAAGTAAACGACTTTTAGGAGCGATAATCCCGGAAGCCCATATTAGGTAGGTGATCGACATACCCGTTCTGTGCAGCATAGCGGGCTTTCGTTGTGATTGGCCAATTTTTGTAGATCATCCCGTGATAAGTAGACATTTTATTGGTTAATCGAAATTTTAAATCGCTAAATCGTCACGAATAAAAAAAAATATGTACAAAAATAATTATGTCTGTGACTAAATTAATACTGGCAGAAGTCTTTAACGTGAAATATTGATAAATTCAGGCCTAAAAACCATAATCCTGTTGCGGACAAAAATTGACTAACCAAGTTTTATTAAAGAACCCTAACGTATTATTGTACGAATCAAAAAAAAAAAAGAGAAATAAAAAAAAATAAAACAAACAAAAAATACAATAAATATTTAAATCCATTCTAAACTAGTATGTAATAATCATAAATAATAATAGTAATAATAATAAACAGAAACAGAAACAACTTTTAATGCTCGTTTTAATACCAAGCTGATCTTTAATTTTATTTTAATAATCGTTATACAGTTACAGCACTACTACTACGCTTTAACTCTTAGAAATCTATAAAGCCTTATGTCTCTCAACTTTGTATTATTAGCCTATATGATAGTCATGTTTCATCATTAGTTGGGATTACGAATAATAAGTTTTTACAACTAAAAGACAGCTTAAATGGACGAATTTTAATTGTTTCATTATACCTATAGGCTAAACTTAAATGTTCGAACATGCCTCTCATCTAACTTCTGAATTACCTTGCGTATTACCAAATTACTTCAACAGTATATAAAATGGAGTTTGCTCTTTCTAATTTTTTTTGTTACAACCTTGGCAGTTTTGTACACATGGCTGCGGTTCTAATTTTGTGTCTGCGAAATGTTACGCTAATATGAAGAACATATTGTGTAACATTTCAGTCGATCATCCAATCATTAAAGCCCGCTATGCTGTTCTGTGCCACTTCGATTACCTACTTCCGGGATCACATTCCTACGGCTCACAACATCATTAATAAAATTTTTTAATTGATGTTTTATTTATTACCTATTTTGGATATACACGTTATGCGTCATTTCTCAATTTGCGTCGATTATTAATTGACGGCTGCCATTTTTCAATTTTAATTATGCAAATAATGATAAATAAATAAAATTTGAATAATATTCTTTTATCATCATTTTGGATGTCGTCAATCAAAACATCCCATCGTAAGATTAATTATTTTTAAAAATTGTTACACAAATGATAAAGCATTGGAGGCATGTCTAATTGGATTTCCCCAGCGTAACCACCAAAAATCACGGGCACGTGATAATGATAAAAATTCCTAATTCGGTAATATTAGGGTTGGCATTATATTATGGATAGGTAATAGTAAGAGAATATTAGTAAAATCGCTCAAGAAAAATTTTTTGTTAGTGCACTAAAGGTTGTTTCCTATGTAAATTTTCGAGTTATGTGCGATTTTTAGTAAAATGAATGTTTGTTTTGATTTTTTCTGATCGTGCAACGTTACACCTAATCTTGTAATCTCATTGGTTTGCACCATGAAAAAATCACGTGCCCATGATTTTTTGGTGGTAATTGTCTAATTGTAACATAGAGTGGCATTAATTGAAATATTATTTCGATTAGACATGCCCCAATTTTTTATAATTTGTGTAACAATTGTTAAAAATGGTTAATCTCATGATGGGACATTTTGATTGACGACAACTCATTTATTCTTTCTACTAATGAATCCATAATGTTATTTTTTCTGACCCGTGAGACCTTTAACCAAAAATTGGAAACATACATAAACAAAAAAAAACAAATGAAGTTTGATGGACAGCGAATGTTACAATTAATGTTATAAGATATTAAAAAATTACGCCAAGTATAATATTACATTCAAGTCATATAATTTATACTATGCAAGAATGCACAATTCAAGAACACTCAACATAAGAATGCTCAACTCAGTAATACCCAGGAACACTTAACTCATACTTTCTGAAGTAAATAAAAAAATTTTTGAATTTTACTGAAACTAATAACATATGGCACCCTTCTAGAGAGGGTTGAAAAAAAATTTTTTACTGATATAATTTGAATTGAAGTAACAGTACAAATAATAATGATTTAAGTCAAAAAATTCATCTAAATTCTTGCAGTTTCTGAAAACCAAATTACAGTACTAAATCTTACTCTTACAGAAAGAAAAATTTATTATATACTCATTGAAAAATGACATACGTTATTTTTTAATCAGTATGAATTTTGCTAATTAAACAAAATTTGCAAGAAATATTTATTTTTATTCCATGATTCTTAATGTTCACCTGTAAACATTTTTGGTAATATTTTTATGATGATGTAATATTGTAGAGATATCAAAAAATATTACATAGTATAACATTATTAATAAAAATATTAAACAGAAACATTACAGGCATAATTACTATTGAATATATCAGATATTATACATATACTATAAACATTATATGTTACTACAGCTTCAGCATATTAATCCATAATATTCACAACAGCACATTTAATATCTATTATGTATTAAATATTTAAATGCTAATTTGACTATATTTTGATTGAACATATTCAAATTACTGTAATATTAATATTTTAAGAATAAAAATTAATAATTTTTGTATTGTCTGTATAAAATGCATTCACATTATCTTGAGCATACTAAATTTTTTTTCTATATAAGCATAATTTTGTGTTGCAATTCATTTTTCTACAATGGCAAGAATTTGGATAAGTTTTTTGGCTTGAACTAATATTTGTGTTATTTGTATCATTACTTTAATTAAAATATTATTAGTATTAGTAAAATTTTTAATTAATTTAAAAATATATAAATTGAATATTCTTAAGTTGAGTATTCTTGAGTTGGGCATTCTTGGATTGGGTGCTTTTGAGTTAGGTATTTATGTATAGCATGACAGGTATTGAACTTTGTAAATTTAACATTTTTAAGTATTACAAATTGAATACATAATATTTTATTTAATACTTATTTGTCTTAATATATAATATTTATAAAATAATATTAAGATCTAGATAATCAGAAATACCAAGTTGTTCAAATTCATTTGTAGAATATCATTAGTTAATTATTTTAAATTTGTAAGCAATTTGATAAAAATCTTTTAATTTAGTTTTTTCTAAAAAATTTTATATGATAATAATTTTCTATCTATCTTTAATTTGTCTATATTTCGAATATAAATTTTTATAAATTCTTTCAGATTATAAAATTATTTTCTTTTAGTTCTATACTTTGTTTCTATAATATTTCTAATAAATTCTCAATTTTTTTTGTTATTTAATATTGTTATATAATGAAAAATTTAATGTTTTTTATATATTAATAAGTTGAATTTGTAATATTATATAATAATACTTATGACTAAAAAAAAATAATAATTTCTTATAATTATAATAAAATAAATAAGTATTTTTATAGATATATAAAAAAACTTAGAAGATTGTTACAAATACAGTAGCATATGATATAATTTCTCTATTTTAGCCATATCTTAATATTAATCTTAACTATAATGCAGATTATATTATATTATTAAAGTTATTATCAAAAATTTATCTGACTGTATTATATAATTTATTTAATAAACAAATTATAATAGTTTAAATTTTAACTAATTATTTAAGCAAAACAACTTGATTTTGTATTTTATATTATTCTCTTTAGTATTTTCTCTTCTTTAAAATAATAAAAATACTTAAATAAATATACTGTCAACTACAGACTTATAATTATAACTAATAATAAGTTATATATAGAATGTTTAAATTTTTTTAAATCTTAGACAGAATTTTTAATAAAATTATTTAGACTGTATTAGTATACTATTTGGTTTGTATTAAATATTATCTAGTTTGTATTAATATTAATAAGCTAATTTTAATTAGTAATTAATATATATGAAATTATTGCATATATATTTTTATATAAAAATTTTTTTTGTTATTGTAGTTTTTACTTATTATTCCTTGTTATAATAAATATAT